TTTGTTTTTAAAAATATATAAAACGATTGATATAAAAAATAGTTGCTTTATCGTAAAACATGTCGACTCCCTAAACAGTTTTTAGGAAATATTTTGGTATAATTTCCAATTTTTTAAGATGTTTAACTAGTATTCCTCCCTATCCCAAAATACCATATTGTAAACGTGACGTTATCCTTTGGTGTTTATTCAAAATGTTTACTGAAGTCCTCTACCATAGCAAAACCAAGAATGGTTCCTGACGTGTTTACATAGTACAAATTATTTTTATAATGAAAGAATAATATTGGCCCTAATGCGAATTCCTGAGGGACCCATAGGAATTGTTTCTTGGCATTATTAATTTTTGTTTTCTGTGCTCTTTCCGTAAGATAACTTTGAAATAGTTTCCATCGTATTCCGCGTACGCTAGAGTCCTCCAAGACCTCCAAAATCAGTTTATGATCAACGCCTTTTAAAATGGCATAACTTTGTTATTGTTTTCCAGTGAGCTGTAATTTTGTGACGTTAAAGGGGCTATTGTCTTTTCTACATACTTGCCTGCCATGCCATATTGATTTTTATTTAATATTTCCTTTTCTTCTAGGAACCGCACTAACATCTCCCTAAGAACCATCTAGAAAATATTTGCTCTGTTACATACAAGTAACACTCGAATCGATAATTGAAGCTTTAGAATGTATGACGACGAATCCGATCAATTTCTCATTCATGGCGGGACAAATTAAAGGACTGATACAGTATCGACAGACTCATTTATAATGTTTACAGATGTTGTCAGTTTAGGGAACTAAAAATGTCACGTTTCATATCCAATCAAAGATTTAAAACAATATACTGTAATAAACATCAAACTGATTATATATCCAGCTGCAATACAGGCTTTTAAGAATACGGTTAGGAATATTCCGGGTTCATTAGTGCGATAGAAACTTCAATCCACTGGGATACAGTGGTGACTTGAGGCATAGGTTTCATCGATTTTAACTAAACCAGCGAATATTTTCAGATCCGAAGAGTTTGTGTTTCGTTTACCTTTTCATATCGTATTATTGACAGTAGAATTCGTACTTCTAGGTGAAGTAAATATTTAATTGGTGCTAGGAATAGAAGACAAAATTTCAGATCATTGTATAGGTATTCAAACACAAATTACAAATTATGGTTTTAAATTCCTTGCGAATATATAATCTAGAGATTCCAAAATGGAGAAGTAAACTCAAGAGAAAACAAACAACTTTGCATATCCATAGTTTTTAATATGGTATTTTGTACTTAGCGTTATTATTATTATTTTATTGACTGTAACAAAACTGTAGAACTCCGCGAAGGAATAAGTAATTTCAACACCTATCTCTATATTACAATCCATCTACAGCGTATTAAAATTATTCATAAACGAGTTAAAAAATGCTGCAATTATTTTCAATATGGCTACTGAAGAGCGTAGCGCTGACAAAATTCACTAATTTAATGATTTTTAAAAGGTTACGGTCCGGTTACAGGAGTGCTTATCAACTGTTTCTTTAATTAAATTCCAACACTCCATAAAAAGAGTACATCAATTTAGTTTACTAAAATCCTTGGAGATTCGCAATTCCCAGTTTGCAGAAACAAATTAAACTGTTAGACCGTTGAATTGAAAATGAAATCAACTGTAATGAATTTCCGGAGCACCCAGCACGGAGCATGTCATAATCTAATAATCCAAATTTTGTTTTAAAACTCTTAATGTTTCAGGATTAGAGGACACCGGCACCATTTTTGAACGCCTTTTAAAGTCAATGTAGTTTTTCAACTACAAATGATACTCATATATTCAGATATTATTTTAAGAACAATCCAACACGAGAATCCATTTTCTACAAATCTCCTGGTACTAATAAAAATGACGAGTGTGATAGAAAATTGTCCAACTACGGGCATTTTGTGACAGTTCAGACTGTGACACATACTGTCACGCTTGACACAGAGGCGGTATCAAGTTGATAACATCACCCCGCGCTTTGAAAATCCTGCCATGACAGTTACTACTACTCTAAGAAGGGTTTCACCAAAAAACAATATCAGAAATCCTTAATAAATGACTAAACATTCCGTGATCCACAAATTTCCTGCAGGATGTACCGTGCATTAAATTTATCATTTTAATTGGCTGTAACTTTTTTGTTTTTAGAGGCATTAAGGTAAACAAAAAAACAGAATGTAGGTTTAGTAGCCAAGTTTTTTTTCAAGTGACGTATAAAACAAAACACTATCAATTTTCGGACATATATATTTTTAAATGGAACACCCTGTATATTGTATATGTGTTTAATAGAATATCTTATTCCAATTACGATGATGTAACACACTTCACATTTTAGTCCACTCTTTTTGAAAAATCTCGCAAAAATAGGAAATTTTTATATTACTTCAAAGAGTGCCGTGACTGACTGCAAAAATTAAAAATGACAAGACACTCTAAAGTAAAAAATTCTTTAACTATTATAAATACTGCTGTATGTGACCCCCATTTTCCTAAACATATTTCTCATACACTTTTATTGTACGATGTCTTGCATTTGGTAACGTTTCCAGATTGTCTCTTGACTTATTGATTGCCTCTGAAATCCAAAAGAAAAAAACCATTAAAATTAAGTATGAGCAATCGGCCGTTCCCTATCCGGCTCAACAACTTAGTTTTTGAGTTTTACGAAATTTAAAAAATATTTACATTCTTTCAAAACTGAGTGGATTGATCCCCGAGAAATAGCTATCGCTTCATATACTCTAGTAATAGAAGAAACTGGATGTGCTGATTCCGTCATACCTTTATAGCATTTAATAAGTTACCTGCAATTTTCTTTGCCAACCTTGGAAATATCTCTTTTGAAGGAGCTCGACGCTCTGGATGAAGTCTATTATACTGACGAGGAACTGCGGTTGCACTTTTATTATTCAAGAAGTATTCTTCAAGCATATCACGCCTTTCGGGGATGCTAAATTCGCAAAAAACCATTTTAACAATAATGACTTGGACAATACTGCAACCATCACCGTTGTTTACTAATATGTCAAACATAAACATGATTTTATTTTTCAGTCAGGGCACTCTTTGAAATGATATAAAAATTTCCTATTCTAATGCCAATTAAAAATTAAAAATATACATTGAACGCGGGATACACTGGATATCATCACATATTTAGCTCTCGTTAAATTCCACTCAGACGGCCACGACGATATATCCCATCATCGTTTCAAAGCAAAAATCCATAACTTCAAGCAGAACACTTTCCAGCTTTTCGAAAAGATCGATTCTTAATAACATTTCCTGAACCATTTTATAACGAAAACTTCTAATACGATGGCGGAAGTTTGAAGGTCGACGATTTTTTTCAATATTTCGCGTGACCAAATGAAATCAAAACTTTAACCAACAGCAGCTTGGGAAATCGATAATAGCTTTGTGCCTCGGCGACCTATTCTAGTCGAATAGTTCCGACCGTGACAAAAGGGAAACTCTCAAACAATAGACATATATATTTCGCGAGCAAGTTGGATATTTATAACGTCGGAAGCCTGTTGATGAAGTAATTTGTGTTCGCGGTGGTTCCGCCGTTCTATGGGCGGTCTTAGAGACAGCGCCGCGGCCGCAACTCGATAGGACCTCGAAATACAAAGGGGATGCGATTAATTGGACACCGCAGCTTAATGAATATCGTCAAGAAAGTAACCTGCACCTGTTTAAGGGACGGGGGTTTCCCTGCGATTTTCGAAAGCGACACGATCTTTTTCCCCTGACGATAAAATACTCCTTTCCGTTAGGTTGATATTTAATAGAACGCAAGAACGCACGTGGTGTACTGATTGTAACGACATCGGTTTACCCCTTCACTTATATCCATACAAAATTGGCATGTTGTTCTCACCATTTATAGAACACTGAAAACATTGTTGTATTTTCAAAAATTGAGGCAATTTTCCAAACTTTTAAGACTTGGTTACGGTCAATTACCCGGATAGAGTCTAATGGTCATGCAACTTTTTTAGTGCATCTCATATAACGACCGAGCAAGGTTTCTTAGTGGAAAATACTATAGCAACAGTCTTCCCGTTCTGTAAATGCCTTGTCCCTTGTGAAATAAGTTATTTGTACAATATCGACCACCTAGAAGGACCACCCCATAGAAAAATCAAATATTTTCAAAATGATTCAAATATTAAATAATTCACACAATTAATAATGACCTTATTTGGGCAAATTTAAATAATTACAACTACGTAGTCAATTCTATCATAAATTGCAAACCACTAGGTGGCACTACACCTAACATCTAAATGTTGAAAATGGCAGAGATTAGCAAACCTTTTTCTGATATCTATTAGGCTACTCTAGGACGGTTAGCAAAATGGATTATCAAGTCATATGTAAAAGCCTGAAGCCAAAGCAACGAAAGACATAACTTCGCTTATTACCGTCATTTTTTACTGTATTAGATCTTATCGGCGAAAACTTCATCTATTATTATTTTTAGCTATTATTTTGAAATGCAAGTTACTTCTCCGAGGACCGGAATAGTACAAAATCACCAACGCATAGATTGAATTTTTATGCATAGTGGTAAAATAAAAATTAATGTTGACAATTTGCTATGGAAACGAATAAAGAAAAATGCTTGATTGTCCTAAAGGAATATTTTCACCTGGCAAATTTGAAATATCTCGATCTCAATAATAATACGACTTCACTTGATGGACCATGTTATTAATTGGGAACAGGCAAAATGCAGCTTATTAAAGTGACTTCTAGAAGCTGCGGTAGCATTTCCGTGATTATATTTGGTTATCTACAATTTTATAAGAACGAGTCTATAGAAAACTAGTGAATATTTGCGGACGTTTTGAAAATCCCCAAAACATATTTGCTAAATGTAATATCAGTCGAATCCAACAGACGCTTTTGCCTTATTCACAAAAATACAAACGTCAGCCTATGCATTTATCTTATATTTCAGGTTTTCTTCGGACGAAATCGGGGTTAGGGGACGACCCGTCCGGAGGCGGAAATTTGGGGATCAAGGACGTAGCGGCATCGTTACGCTGGATTAAAACAAATATAGCGGCTTTCGGAGGCGATCCATCCAGGGTTACCCTAGTGGGGCAAGATACCGGAGCGACCATAGTTAATTTACTATTTCTGTCGCCTACGTCGAAAGGTAACCCATTCATATTTGGTAAAACTCATTAATCCACGTTTGCATTAGACAACGCGTCGTCATTAAACTTGAACAATATTTTTTCCAAAAATTTTGGCCATTACATATTTTAATTCACCTAACATATTTTCTCATTATTATTTTGTAATAGTATAATATTGAACTGAACCCATATCCGTCCGAGGTGAACTTTAGGTGACAGGTGAGAGGTGAAAATGGTTTTATTTAAATATTTGATTATAACTTAGCCAAACGAAGACACACCTAACGTCCTTCTACTTACATAATCTCTTTTACACTTATAATTCCTAGGAATTCTTTTACAATTTTTTGCAGAATTTCTTGAAATTCTTTCCTACTGTGCAGAAGTTTAGCAAAATTCTCGTTTATCAATTTAATTTAATTAGTATTATTTCATAAGAAAATTGTACTTCCCGGTAGAAATATCAATTTAAAAATGATATTTTAGTTATTAAATATATTATTATTAAATATTTGGATGTCCATCATGGTTACCAAGTGAAAATCCATGTTCCGATTGGTTAAAAAAATAATAAGCGCGAAACTTCTAATTAGTCTAGCTGACTTAGCAGCGCCGCCATCAATAATCTTTTTCCCGTGTCGTGTAAAACCGGTAATTAATTGGAAACACGACCCGAACAAGCCGAGATAAATCTTCTGACATTTTTACCCCTCTGGAAATAAACCATCGCTATCAAATGGGGCAAATTAACACGACTAATTTTACGTTTAATTAGGTTGCCAATCTTCGCCGCAATCTCGACCATATCATCGGATTTAAATATGATGGAACCGCGAATGGTTTTATACGAGAATGTATGCGGAGCCTAGTTTTCCTGACTTGTATGGGTTCGGTGACACCATCCAACAAAACATTCTCTAAATACGCCAATTAGGTAGATACTAACCTGCATTATTTGAGCATTTGTTTAAAAAAATAACAATGACAAATAAACATACCCATTACTTATTACTTATTGTGGAAGGCTCTATTTCATTCCATTCTATTTATTTTATCTGCAGTGCATCGCTGTCCCTGATGGTCAGGACATTCAGACTTTTCGATCCATTATGCCCGTACATCTTCGCTCGCTCCACTAAAAAGCCAATATGCTTCACGCATGGTTATATCAAGTTTAATGTACCAGTCGCTGGAGTTAACACTTATCATTTAGTAACACTATACAAAAGATGTAATGGCCGTTCAGAAAGTCCTCCAAATCAGGTCAGGTCAGCTGTCAGATCCAGGCATATAGTGACCTTACTAAAAATTTATGCGGCGCATAAAGATCCTAGACGAAATCTGCTTCTTCGCCACTTCTTGCACCGAAACCTACAATAAACCTGCAGATCTGAACATAAAACCCCTCTTTTTGGGACAAATGGTTGGTTTTTCTTGTTGCAGATTGCAGTAAAAATCGTTTTTTTTGGAGACACGTTGTTACTTAAATGACATCAAAATTGTAGATGTCATCTTAAACCCCAATTTTCTGTTCCCAGTAAATACTCATTCCTGTCGATTTCTAAGCAGCGATACACACACTTCATTTCTTTTTTCCCGAAGATTCAATGGAACTTGAATATACTTTGACAATTGGCAAGCGTGATTTGAATTCTTTTAGGCATGATTGATAGAGTCCAAGAGTCCAAACAACATTGCGGATTTCTAATTTGCAATCCGGGATCACTTTTAAAGCTGTCAAGGCATGATCTATTAATAATAATAATAATAATAATAATAATAATAATAATAATAATAATAATAATAATAATAATAATAATAATAATAATATTCAATTGTTCGGAGGATATATTACGTTGGATAGTTTTGGTCAGATATATTTCTCTGGCCATATTTTATCTTACTTCTTTCTATGGTCACCAATTAGGCTGTGTCAAGTTATTTTTTTTTGCTGACACACAAAAACTAGTTGCAAAGTACTTACCACGTATGAGCTTTTAAATTTAATGAAATTTAATGGGAAGATTATCCTCATTAGAGTTTGGAGTTTTCGATTTAGTCTTACATATAAGATCATTAAGCCAATTTTATTTATAACATTTATTTGGAAATTCAACGGTCTACAAGAATAGTTTCTTATACTTTTTCGATAAATCGAACCATTTCAAAGATATTCGAAGTCAAAGATTGAAGAATTTAAAGAAAAATAACTATTTGTTCTGAATTTTGTCATTGACTGAAAAATAATTATCGTGAAATATCTCTTGTGGTTTATCAATTACGCGAACCGTTGGAATCCCAATGGGTACTTATGTTCATATTATAACAAAAAAATGTTCAGATTTTCACAGTGCTTAATACTTTATGACAGCTGTTTCGGCAACACCTTGCCTTTATCAAATGCAAAATATGACTATATTCCGATACTTCTATATAAAAACATGTAGTAATAGACTTTCAATTACTAGTATAGGGTTATAAATTTAAATTTAACAAGGGAGACGCATTTAAATTCAATTGATCACTAAGTAATAAATTCGAATATCTCATTTTGTTAACTTTTCAACAAATTTAGTTTTATGCTTTTTGAATGATTATGTAAAATATCAAAATTATCAAAGTTGTGCATTTCTGAGTTTATATGAATGGCATAGTTAAAATCTGAACTTTTATTTTAATAGGATATTTTATGTTCGTTAATCCGTTTCTTAAATGTTCTACCTGTTTTTCCGATATAAATTTTTGGGACAAGATCCACATTCCAACTTATAGACTCCAGATTTTTCGGTTTTTCGTAATATAGTTTTATTGTTTTTTAGAAAATGTCCTATGGTGTTTTCAGTTGTAAAAGCAATATAATATCAAATTGAAATAGATGTTTTGTAATTATCTTGCTAGGTTCTCCTATGTATTTTATTGTTTTATAAATTTTGTCTTCGATGGTGAATATGGGATAGATAGAGTTCATGGTTATTTGAAACTGCTTTTCAGTTATAATCTTATCTATCAAAGAGGGATCGTAACCATTGTTAAAAGCTATTTGTTTTATAATATTTAATTCTTAAGTAAGTAGTCTCTTGATACAAACATAAAAGGCAGACATTTTGTGTTTCTATTATGTATTATTGCGTCCGTGTGTGAGGGTTTATGATAAATGTAAAAATCTAGCTTGTTCTGTAGTTTAGTTATAGTTAAGTCCAGAAAGTTTTGAGAATTATCTTGTTCCATCTCTATGGTAAATTTTGTGCGGTTATGTATCGAGTTACTATGATTCAAAAAAGACTGTAGTTGTCTTTCGGTTCCAGTGAAACAAGCAAAAACATCATCTACGTATCTATACCACCAGAGAAATCCTGTACTCAGATGATGTTATGATATGATATGACTAAGTGGGTTTCCCATAATTAATCCTTCTTTAGCAATATAAAATTGACCATTAAATTCAAAATCATTTTGGTCTAAACAAACTATTATAAGTTTTGAACATCAAATGAAACTAGAGTTGGCTTAGGACGAATTTTTATGTCTTTAACCTTGTTAATTAGTTCGAATGAAATTTGATAGCATATCTAGGTTTAAAAGCAGTATTGTATTCTAAAATTTTAATTAATCTTGTTGAAAATTTAACTGATGGTGCTGTTACAGGCCTTATTGACATATGCTGTTTGTGTAATTTAATTAAAGAATATAACTTTGCATGTTGAGGGTTCATGATTATTAATTGGTATTTATCCTTGTCATTAAAAAGTGATGAATCTATAATTACTGTTTACTGTAAGTATTAAAAGCTGTGAAAATCTGAACATTTTTTTATCTAATTTAATTTGTGTTAAATGGATTTTCGTCGAGTAAAAGGCACCTCAGCCCGACAATTTATTCATTGAAGTAGTAAATTTTGAAATTATTTATTATCTCTTTCAGAAAAAACAAGTTCATTATTCAAGAAATATTAATAAATGCATTAAGAGAAAAAGCATTCCGACCCACCATATGAAATTTTATACCTTAATACTGTATTAATAGAAACATATACATTTTTTAGATTGAGTAATACAAATCGCAGCAAGTATTAAAACTATTCGTTTTTCGCCAAAGACTGATTATATTCAGAGACCTACCAAAGCTACTCCATGCTCTGCTGCGTCATTTACAACTTTCATTTGTTTGAAATACTCTTCATTTTCCTTATAATTCTCATCTGAAGCCCACAATGCAATGTCAACATCAAGGAAATCGTATGGTAGGTCAATGATTTTGAAAAAATTCAACGATTTTTGAGAAGTCACTCAAATCCCTTTGAATAATCGAATTGATGTTCTTTTGATCGTTCTCAAATTTTTTAACAATAGAATTTATTCCATCTCTAGTTTTTACAGCTTCGACTACCTTTTTTGTATCGAGTGGAACAGAATCATCAAACAGTAATAAATTATCATTACAGGCTTAATGTTATATATATGGTTATAAGATATGACTATTTATTTATGAGGCTAAATCGAAAAGCGAAACTACAATGAGGATAATCTTCTCATTAATATTAACAGCTCGTACGTGCTAAGCACTTTCTTAAGGTAACTAGCAACCAGTTTTTGCATGTCAGATAAAAAAAATCTTTTTTTTACCCACCCTGTGCCTATGTTTATTATGTGACGTTTCCATTATACCGAGCTTCAATCCTCAATTTTTCTTTTGAAAGATTTTAACGGAAATTATCGAATGCAGAATGCACGAATGAAATTGATCATGTGCCGAATTCGTGGTAAGGTAACCTCCGCCCAGGCCTTGAATGTATGCACACGGACTGTGGACTTTCGTTAAAATTGAATTGCGTAAAATATTTCGGGTGGGTTATCGACAATTTGCTGCAGTAAAATGTACGGTTGCCTGAGCTAATTTGGCCGCTTTTCGACACCACGAATGCGGAGAGCAAAGCGAAACAGCGCAAATAAAATCCAATAATCGTCCCCTACGGCACCCAGGGAGAAATGACCCTAGAAGACTTCCTCCGCTCCACCCGCCAACGCCCCTTATTAATTTTCCAGCGCATTAGTCCTCGTTACTGATAAATTATTTCCGAAGAGTTTCCAGGGATTTAATCAGTCAGTCGCGTCTTATTCGTCTCGGACTCAAAAAGGAAAACAAGGATTTGCACCGATGCCGAAAGCTATCGATTTTTCAAATCGTTTATTTACTTTTACATCAATTGTTCGTTAATCATTTGCTGCTAATTAACAAACCTTTTAAAATTCAATTTAACTCGAACGGGATAACTTTTATGCAATGAAACAAGGCGTGTATTCAATTCGCAATTTGTAATGCAGGGGCCGATTGAAAGACCTGGGGATAAAAAAGGCCACTTAGAACGACTAATATCCTAAGTTTATCTTTAAATGAAGAAAAACGAATCCTACGTTGTTTTCTTCTACTTCTTCCAGGGTCATTCCTTAATGAAGGTTGGCGACCACGCGTCTTTGTCTCTTGCAACAGCTCTCCTACACTGATCTGAGTCCAGTCCCTGATGTTTCTTATCCAGGATTTCTTCTTTCTTCCTTTAAGAGTCTGTTCGTACTTATTATTTCTTAGAATATGTTTTTTGTCACTAAATTATGTTTTAAATCTTAAGAAAGACTGCCTCGCAATTTTGATTCTGATTTCGTTGTCTTAGTCTAGGTCTGAAGTTATGTAAGTTACTAGATATTTGTATTTTTCCATGAGCTGTGCGAGTTTTCCTTGCATCATCAGCTGAACTTGATTGACTGGGTTTTTCGAGACAAGCATAAATATAGTTTTTACAGGATTTACTAGAATCCCACTTTAATGCTTTCGTTATTGACCCTGTTCACTAGTAATTGCAGGTCTTCCAGGCATTCAACCATCATTGCTGTATCGTAAATCTCTGTAAAAATGATAAAATTATGTAGAGTATGGCTGTGTTGAACCTGAACGCAGTGTAGTACGGATTTTGCAACGCAACCTATATTTGATTAGTAGTCCTGTAAAATTAATTGCACGTATGTCACTTTCAGAGATGAAGAACTAGAGTTCACATTTCTTATCCTTTCTGTGATTTTACCGAATTGTCATCACTTAAACAATATTTTCAATAAATCTTTATAAAATTGATATTATATAGAGAACGTAATAATTTAATTAATTTAATACAGTGTAGCACGTATCTTGGCATGCGTAGTAAAATATTTAATTACATTTTTAACGTAAAAACACATTTCCCTGTCTTTACACGTAACAGTAAAAATAAGCAGAAGAATTGTTTCTGTTCTACAATATTTTGATTAGTTTATAAATAACCTAATACAATAAATAAAACCCACGTATATGTAAAGAAAATAAATTATTTAACTACTTTGATTACTCTTATACCTGTTCCAAAAATTCACCTACTGACCGTACAAAAACATTATAACCAAACTATAATATCTGAAAAGCAAACTAATATGTTGCAGGGCTCCTCCACAGAGTGATTCTTCTGAGCGGTACAGCGCTTAGTCCTTGGGGTACTGTCCACAACGCTGACAATCTCCGACTAAGCGTCGCAAAGCAAATGGGTTGTTTACCTCAAGACTCCAAAGGAGACGACGGCGAAGACATAGCTCCCTGCCTTCGATCGAGGTAAATTTTGTAAAAATTGTGAAAACTAGAGGTTGAGAGAGAGAGAGAGAATTAAAAATTGGCTGTTACCAGTTGTTATAATATTGCAATCAGCTTAAAGTTTTCTAGTTTTTAAAATTCAAAAGGTATATCAAATAAAATATAAATTATTCAAAAAAAAAAACAAAAAGGATTTTTTTGAACGAGTGAAAACCTAAATAATGATTTTAAAGTATATAGTCATTGATAACTTTAAATGTTCTTTATTGTATATAGATCAGGAAGGAGACTGCAATAGGGTAGGTGCAAGTTCAAAGAGTTAAAAATATTTACACGATTAAGCCCAAAGTGTTGTTTCGATTATTATCGTGTAAAGCACACTAAGCACAAATACAAACTGTCGTAGATTATACACAAACACACTTCACACGGCCCAAAAATAAACGTAAATAATATAGTTCGCATCGTATAATCTGAGAATAACACTATAACATGTCGCCACATCGATGGAAAAGCAACGGTATGACGTCACGATCATTCCCGCGTGTTTAGTGTCGTTTGAAATGAATAGCCGGGTGTAACCACTTGAATTATTTATTGCAACTTAAATATTGTTTTTTGATTTTTCATGTTTGATATGCGTTATTTCTCTACATAAACAAATGTATTAGAGAAATATAAAAAAATATTCAAGTTCTCTATTGATACCAATCAGTAGTTACTGATACAGTTGGCTGAAAAGGACGAACCCTACACTACATAATTTTAACAGCATTTTTCATGACATCAGGACTAATATAAACCAAAGCCTTTAAAAATTAAAGAAATTGTTCTTATTAACATGAAATGAAACATTTATTGCATAATTGATACCCATGCAATAAACTTGGATCAATATAAATTTGATTTTCACCATGTTTTAAATCACAACAATATTGGCCATATTACCATCTTTGGTAATATGGCTCTGTGTTTTCTTATGTTGTAGAGGATATAGAGTAAGTTATGTTCAGTTATGTAAGGTTCTGTGAGTAACAATAAAACCACTTAAACTAGAAAATGATATTTTGTGCCAACATATCAATATAATTCACATTAAAGAATATTTTGTCTTCGCCGTGTTGCCAATTAACTACAATTGGCGTGAAAAAGTAGACTTAAATAACTCGTTTCCGAAATTAAGAATGTTAGTGAATTTTTTGTTTTGAAATTAGTGTGTCCATTTATAACACGAATTTCATTGTAATTGTGACATAATATTATGATAAGAATGATATTTTGCCGCACGCCGACAATCATTCTCTCCGATTTCATCGAATTTTTAAATTGGAATCAGCAAAAAACTACGTTTGTTTAGAAGCGAGTTTTTTTTTTCGTTCCAAGTGGCGAATGTTGCTCGTTATTTTCAAACATGGCGCTGAATGCGCGCAGCGTCAGAAGACCGCGCCGGGTAAAATCAAACAAAACGCGCCCCATTTCCCAGCTAAATGGAAAAGCTGATTCACAAAGCTTTGATGGGCGATCTTTTTTAGCAAACTTTGTCAACGTTTTTGTATTCGGCAATTTGGACGTTCCCGCATACCGTGAAAACCTTTTTTTTTCTGGCGAATTTATAGTTTGATTTTTTTTGTTCGAGTAGGAGTCGAGTTTCAATACACTTTAAATATTTAGATTCTAACCGTTGACTTTGAACTAAAAAAATGTCATTTTTTATTAATCATAATTGATTTCAAAGAGTTTATTAACAACGAACCTAGTTTTGTATTAATTGTCGTTTAAGATTAAATTGCACTTTTATGACCTGAGAACTTCAGTTCCAGTCTTTTTAGCAATTTTGGCGGCTACATTTCTTTTTCTTTCTATGATTTGTCTTGAACTGTCATCGCTTAATAAAAATTTAAGTGAAAATTACGACATCTTTATAACAGGGTATATGTTACGACCAGTTTGATTACATAGGGCATTAAATTTATATTACATACATGAAATGATGTCCTTGGTAATTCTAAAGAATTAACAGCAATTCTAAACGAACGAACGAACCTCGAAATTTGTTTCTAGCGATTTATCTGTGCCACACACATCGTCACATTGTTTACGTTGCACAGTTTTCTTTAGACGTTATTTGGCTAACGTCCAACGAATAGTTTTTGTTTAATTGCGTTTAGGGTTTTTGTTTACTAAATTTTGAGGACTTTGTATAAATTAGAAGCAGCAGAAGTATGCGATATCACTCATTGTTTCAGCGAACGCCAATGAAATGTGTACCATACATACGATCCTGACTTGGTTATGTTTTTTTTTTTATAAAAAAAGGTCGAAACTAATCCAAAACCAACCAAAACAAACATAAACCAAGAACAACGAAACCCAACCAACTAGTCTAACCCAAGCTAGGACGCGTGCTAAATGAAATAAATTTTAGCAGACAATTATCAGTTAGCGTTCAATTTATCTTGTTAACATTTTAATTGTCTGTAACTTTTTTTGTGTTTAGAGGGATCAAGGTAAATAAAAAAAAAATGTAAGGTTAGTAGCCAAGTTTTTTTCTAAGTCACGTATAAAACAAAGCACTATCAATTTTTTGACATAAAGCCTACATTTTTTATAAAATTTCAAAGAGTGCCCGGACTAACAAATAAAAATATAATAATAATAATAATACATTTATTGTTATAACCATCAAAGTTACATAGAAATAATTACATAACCAAAGTTAAATAAGTGAAATAATGGTCAACAATAGGCCTTGTTAGGGCAGCCATCAAGAAGTTCTAGATACTGTTCAGGCCTCAATTTAACAGCGAAAATATAATAGTAAAAAATTTCATAGAATTTATTTGAAAGCGCCAAGCGTAGATACACATAATTCTAAAGAAAAGAAAAGAGAAGAAATGAAGGGGGAAGGAAAGGAAAGGAAAGGGGCACATGTTTCGTAGAAGAGCTTAATATTAGTGCGTACGTAACAACTGCTTTTAGTCCTAAACCTTGAATTGGACTGATTAATATTAAAATTAGTAATAGAGTTAATGCAAATGTCTATATTATAGGAATATGATCTTTTAAATAATTCTTCGCGTTGTCTTCCACGCAGATTCAAATTGTGTATTGATATGTTAAGAGTAATTTTTCTGTAAAGATAAAAAGGTAATTTTGTTTTATGTTTTATGTTGTTTTATGTTTGACATATTAGTAAACAACATTATTGTCCAAGTTATTACTGTTAAAATGGTTTTTCGCGAATTTAGAATCCGTGAAATGAGCAGCTCGTCGTCCAGTATATTAGACTTTATCCAGAGCGCCGAGCTCCTTCGAACAAGGCTTTACCAAGGCTGGCAAATAAATTTGCAGAAAACAGTAACGTATTATATAATGTTTCAAACGAAGAAAATAAGGCAAGCATAATAGGATTCTATGAAGCATATCCAGTTTGCTCTATTACTAGAGTATATGAAGAGACAGGTATTTCTCGGAGATCAATCCACTCAGTTTTGAAAGAATTTAAATTTCGCAAAACTTATAAAGTAAGTGCAGAAGAATGTCCAAGGAGGGTGCACTTTTGTTTGGATTTTTTAAATAGATATAATGAGAATAAAAAAACATTTTATGGAATGATTGAAGTCGTTCACTACAAGAAAGGGTTGTATTAGACAAACTACGCGATATTGGTCTTTAAATAATCCTTGACAAATACACGAAATAAGAAGCCAGGGGTACCAATCAATGAATGATATACGATATACGATATTTATGGAATGGCCAGCCAACAGCCCCGACATAACTTTCATGTTTTTTTTTTGAGGACACATAAAAATTCACGTGCACAGAACTCCTTGTAATAATGTCTTGGAACTTCAGAATCAGTTGATAGACAATCCGGAAACATTACTAAACACAAGACATTTAAAAAAATATAATGCAGATTTATATGTCAGAAAATTGACAGTGTTTTGTTTTATACATCACTTGGAAAAAACTTGGCTTCTAACCCAACCTTTTATTTTTTTGTTTACCTTGATATCTCTAAAAACAAAAAGTTACAGCCAATTAAAATGTTACCAAAATAAATTGAACCCACAGTACCTATTCCATTATATCATCTCAAGCTTGTATGTTTGCTAATATTTTTGTAAAGGGAAATATTAACAATATTTTTGTATGTATGATTTTTCCATATCTCCTAGGCCACTTTTTAAATTTTCCGGCATATTAAAAATAATGCTGAACTATTAATGTACTCGCAACTTATATATCACCGTCTAAAAAAAAACAAAAATGTGTTTTTATCTTAGTAAAATTAACAATTAACATTATTATCGACTATTTTTTATTACAGTTTCCTCAGGAAACTACCGAAAATCACATTTTTTATATTAACCCGTAGCAATCAAACTCAATAAAAGTTTCTCTTGATATTTTTAAAGAATATTCCGTCTCCAGTAGCAAATAATTTCAAATTCAGATCGAGCACTATGGGAAGTACGCACGGTATAGATTTGCATAACACTTCTTGAAGCAGACCAGATTTTATATACTTCGGAAAAAGCGTCGCTTGCAGCTCTTTGTCAAATTAATTTATTTCTCAACTATAACAAATGCAAAAGCCCTTCTTTTTATTTTATTGGCAATAGTTTAAAAAAACAACAATGTCCTGAATAATTTCATTCTTAATAAGAAATAATTAAAAAGAAAACTGCCATGAAACAAAACAAAATCGGCACGACTGTTTAAAAATTCAATATTAATAAATTTGACTAATTAATAGAATTAATTGGTCTATGCAGTTCCCACAATGATGTAAATTATGATGTGTTAGAGATGGAAAAACTTTTTAGCATTTTTTGTTTTATCGGAAACGTGGAAAGATAAAAAATGGATCATCCCTAATAAGCCATCAAAATATGGGAGAATATGCGCGAAGCATATTTGGCGTTTCCTGTTTATGATGGAGACAGATAATTCCCATAAATATACAAACAAGACATGCTCAACATTAGAGGGCTAGATGGTGCCTCGGGCTC